TCTAATTTTCTAAACTGATAAACTATAAAATAAATTTAAAAATTAACTACAAGTTCAGAATATTTCCGTTGTTATTATATTTTTGCTACGAGTATTTTTGTTATCTAAATGACCCAATGAAATCCAAATAATTTCTAGAAATCTCTGATAAAATGTAGATAAATAAGTGTTGTCGAATCCTATCAAATTATCTTCAATTTTGTTATTTATTTAAAATACCATTTATTTTATAGTAAATAAATATAATATATTATAAAAAAAGTTAATACCAATATATTAGGCATTTTTTTTAAGTCGGGGGGTGTCCAGACATGGAGGACGCCCCCCCAAAATACGTCACTGGTCCCCACTATGCTGGATTTTTAAAAATAATTTTTACAATTTAGGACTATATAAAAAACATATTTTTTTATCATTGTTTTTAATAAGAAAAAATTAAAAATAATTTTTTTAAATATTTTTTAAAATGGTCATGTTTTAACCCTTTTTTTGCAAAAATTTTGATGGATTTATAACAATTCTAGGGTAAGTTACTAATTGAGTTACAAGCATTTTAATATATACTTACCTTAAGATGTACAATAGTTGGTATAAATATATTTTTCATTTTTGTATTTAGAGGGAGGGGCACAAGGGCACATGCTTCCACCTATTGATTGAGTCATGTAAATATTTTATCAAGCAATGTAATAATGTATATCATTAAAAAAAGTTTTTTTTTGGTTATCGATAATAACAATGGTTATGAAATATTAATCGATATAGTTGTTTTGTAGAGCAAAATTTGACGCCCGCACAATTATCCCGTTAATGTTATCACATATTTTTGAAGTGTTTATTACGTAGAGATACATATTGTATAGAAAGAAATATTTTTAGAATAAAAATGGATTCAAAAAAATCTAAAATATATGTTAACAAAAGTTATGACCAAAAAAAAGTCGTATTATGGTACCTTATTCATGAACATTTTCTGTGCACACCCCCCCCCATTATAAATTTCTAAATACGCCACTGTAAACAGTATATTTCATAATCTATATTTTTTAATATTATTAAGAATAGAGGACGTGCAGGGATATATACGTCTTCTGAAGAAACTTAGCCCCCCTAGTTGTTCGTATGTTATGTTTTCTAAAACTTCATTGATTGATGCCAAAATAATAATCCTTCTAATTAACTTGTGATTAATGTTCATGATGCCGTAATTTATTTAAAATTATTGTTCAATAATACTAAATCAATTGGAAGTTGAATGTTTTATGGAATTCCATTTATACTGTTTTTGTGCTATGTTATAAAGATAAATGATTAAAAATGTTTTATGAACGTAATTTCTGTTTAATTAATAAATAATCCAGAGAATTTGATTCTATTAGATGTATTCTGATAATAGTGGCGCCTAACCCTTGTTTTAGGTAGGGCCACTATACTTAACTTTGGTAAATAGTTTTGTTATTATAAAAATTAGTGTATGATATTTAAAAGATTATTGTACTTTAAAACTATTTATTGGTAATAATTTTTTCCTATAAGGCGCCAGTGTTTAATAGGTATAAAAAGTAATATTAAATTATTGCTTCAGTACTAAAAACAAAGTTATTACTTCAGTTTATTATTGATAGTTAAAACTGCACAATGTATGAGAGAGAATTGTTCTGTCCTGTCTCATTAATTCTGTATAAAGATATGAATTATCCACGTAATACTTTTAAAATAAGAATAGTAAATTTATTAATAAGACGAGAACAATATAAAATAAAACTAATATGTTAGGGATTCTCAGTTAAACTTTATTCCTTGATATTATATTTATTTAACAATGTTAATAATTGTTACTATGTGACAATGTATCCAAGATTTCTTAAAGGAAGATGGCTTAATATAAAATATACATTTTGACTTCTCTCTAAAATATAGTTTCAGAATATCCAATATTGAAAGCTTAACGCTTATAAAATTCTTGAATACTAAACTGTATGTAAAAATATCTTTAAAATAAAATAAGGTTTTTATTGTTAAGAATAACTAAAATCAATTATTATCAATAATATCCACAAATATTAATAATATGCAGAATTTGAGTCCTTTGATTATAGTTAGACAAATTTTCCACTTAATTCATAATTAAAAATACAAAGGTTATTAACTAATATGTAGAGGCTCAGGGATTTTTAAAAGCAAAATTTGATATCAGGATGGAATATTGATTAAAAAATTAAGTAAATTAAAAGCATTATTATACAAAATTTTACTTTCAAAACAATAATATAAATATAAATATATATATATCATCCAAATATAAGTAACAAGAAGAAAGTAAATTTAACTATTATATAACAAATAAAATGATTCAATGTCAATAAAACATAATTAAAATATTTTTTGAAAACAATATATCTTACAACAAAAAGAAAAAAGAAATTACTTAGGTCAGCAGTATTACCATAGATTTTTCCTATTCATATCAACAATGTTCTAAATTATGATATAATATAATTTTAGTACAATAGAACATTGCCACGATGTTAAAAATTAAAAATAATAATAATAAATAAATATATCACATATTCAATGATGGTACTAACTAAATGCATTTGGAAATTTAACAAGTTTATAATTAAGTAATAAAAATACTTTTTTTTATAATATTATATATAAAATATTGTAATAAAATACAATTTACAATATTGCAAAAAGTATATTCAAAAAATATTGTGCTGGTTCCATATGAAATATTTAATTTATTAAAACATTAACTAGGAATAATAGGCCCAAAATATTTTAATTCATTGATGTACAATCAAATATCTCTTTTTGAAGGAGGAACTAGGTGTTCAGGCAATTCTGTTGGCAATTCATGGCCTTCGAGTTTTACTTGAATTAAATGCAAAGCTAAAGCAAATTCATCAGCATCTAAGAAACCATCATGGTCAATATCAGAAAGTTTCCAAATTTTCCCCAAAACTGAGTTTGGTAATTTTGATTTAACCATTTCAGCCTTAGCAACTGTAATTTATTAATAAAAAGGGTTATTCTAGTTTTTAAATAAATTAATATACCGATACCTACCAGCTCCTGATAACTTTCCATCAGACTTTTCTAAATCTGCAAATATAGCATCATATTTATGCCGTTCCTTGTTTACTACCCAACCAGTTTCACCTTTCCCTGCATCAATACCTTCTCCTCGCTTATAACCAAATGGACTGATTGTATCTTGGACGCTAACAAATGCACCACCTATAGTATATAATTTTAAAAAATCAATAAATGATACATTCAACATTTTTTTAACTTTAAAAATCTGTTTTCATATGAAATCAACCTTTTACAACTGCTGATTCTGTAGGAACATCTCCATTCTTTACAAGGCGATTATCGACATCTTGTAAAGGTATCATAGCCATTAATTTAGCAATATCATTTGCTAACATTTTATCAACTTCTTCTAACAAATGAGGTTTAAGGCTTTGGAATTTACTAAAATCTTGGTTAATCAATATATCCTAAAAATATTGTTTAGTGAGATAATTATTTCAGTGTATAAAAATGAATCACAATTATTTTATTCTTTAATACAATATTTTGTAAGTTATTTTGATTTTGCTATTAGATATTTGTAATATTTTAAAAGTGGTTGGGTTAAAATAGATTTAAATGTGTATGGTGATTAATATTGAATGTTTATATAATGATAATTAAAAAAATACCTGCATCTTTTTTATTTCAGGAAAGTCTCCAGGAGAAATTTGATGTTCACGTTGTATATTTTGATAGATAGCACCCAAATTTTTTATCAAATCTTTTTTCTTTCCATCTTTTCTAAAAATAGAAGGCATTTCTTTATGAAGAGAACTGATAATATAAGCATGGACCTAATAAAAAATAAATCATATAATAGTTAATCTTATTTTTGATAATTTAAATAAATATTTTACTTTAGCTAATCTTGCTCTTTTTATTAAATCATTTAATTTCCTTAAAGCAGCATTACCAGGCAATGATTGCAAATCTTTAAATAGGTCTTGTTCTTCATCTTCAAATAATCTAAAATAATTAAATATAGTTTATAGAAAATAATCTAAGTAATTTACATAAAACAATTATTAGCACATAAATATTATAGCTAAATAAGCTTTATGAATATTTATTTGAATTAGTTTTTATTACAAATGCATTTATCATTTTACTCTTGGTAGCAAAATTAAAGCAATGGTCAGAACATTATGAAAGTATTGACCTACTTTAATAGAAACTATAAATAAGAGTACATTGATTCAGATATCTAACCATTTAAAACTATATCATAAAAAAATGATTAATTACATAGAATCAGTTTTTCAGTATTTACACAAAATATATTTTATGGTGTATTTATTATAAAATTAACTATTAGAACTTTATATTTGAATAAAACACAATTACTACGGTAGCAAACAATTTCATAAAAAATCAATTTAAGAAATCTAATTTTTTTAAATTTTTATCTTAAGATATAATACAAGATAAATTATATACTTATTGAAACTTGTAATTATTAATTTTAAAAAGTATAGTGATTATGCAAATATTCAATGATGATTAAAAATTCATTACTTAAATAATTAAAAATAAAAATAAATACCTTCTATTAACATCGTATCTTAGGGGTTTGTCCCAAAATGATCCAATATATACTCTGGCTACTTCTGGAGTTTGTAATACTTTACCTAATGACCACATCAATGCACCATAGACTCTCATTAGCTGCTGATGATCAATCATATCAGCTTTATTTAAAATAATTCTTATTTTGTCATCATGACCTCGAAGTGCTTCTATAGACCTTCGGAACTCATCAGATATGTCTAGTTTATGTGCATCAAATAACAAAATAATTCTATCGACATGTTCCGCAAACCACTCAAGTACTCCAGTAAAATCATATCCTCTATCAACTCTTTGTTTTTCACCTGATAATATACCTGGTGTATCAACTATGGAAATACCTTTAAGTACTGGTGAGTTGACTAAGGAACATTGAAAACGATTGAGAAATGCATTGCCAAATTTTGATAAAGGTCTGAATTGTTTTTTAGGATCTACAACTAAAGCATTTCCAGGAATTATACTCTCTTTTTCATCATACATTACAGCAATAAATCGATCTGTAGTAGGTTCTGGTCCAATCCGTATTCCTGGAAATTCTGATTCTAGCAGATGTTTAATAAAAGTTGTTTTACCAGTAGAATATTGACCCACAAGCAATATCATAGGCTTTGCATCAAAATCTGGATCATCCAATTGTGGCGAGTGAAAATCGTGAAATTGATACGCTAATTCTAAAGGTAGAAGTTTGGTTTTGTATTTTTCACGTAATCCGTCCAAAACAGATTCGTATGTCTCAATTTTTTTTCCATCATCTTTTCTTAACCATCCCAACATTTTTAATATATATGTATATAATAATTAAGAAATAATTTAATACAAAAATTTTATTGAAAAACACTAGCGCAACAACTGTAAGAATGATTCACCGCGTACTCTTGAAATGCATAAAAGCTGAGTAATATTAAAATAAGTACAATGCAGTTTACCAGATTGACAAACAAGAATCGCGTAACGAGTGCTAGTTAGATATTTTGCTGAGGTTTATCGTTATGATATTGTGACGTTATCAAATCTAACAGAATTGCCAACTTACTCTATAATAAAATTTATTCGTGATCCCTATGAAAAAAAAAATGTAAGCATATTAGAATTAATTTTAAACAATTTTTTCAATAAAATCATTAATTTTTTCCCATACATATTTTAAGTAATGGTGTGATTTTTTTTTTGGATAGTATTATTTTGACCGTTTTTTTTGCGATAATAATTTAATTATGCTCTACTATTAGCGTACTAAGTTTAGATATTAGTTTCAGTAGCGTAATTAAGATTTATTTCTGATATTCAACCCTCTTAATTAAGTCTCAAATTAGTTCTTATATGAACAGGGATAGGTTTACGTATACCAAGAGTTTAATGTTTTTGAAGGTTTCAAAGTAAAATTTTGAACATATAAAACAAAATTTATTTCTATTTTACAATCATAAAATATAAACAAGCAACAAGTATCAAACTTCAGTATTCTGGGTTTAATGAAATTACATTTCATTTTTTAATGGAAGAATACTTTTATCATATTACGGTGCATAAAAAAATATTACATAAAATCTATAATTAAATGAAATATTAATAAAAAAAATATATTAATTAAATTTTAAATCACCTAAATTACCTAAATACTTAAAATTAATTTTATAATTACCAAAGTGTTTAAATTTATTTTTTGTTAAATATTATTTAATTATTACATACAATAATTTTACAAATAAAATGCAAAATATTGATTAATCCACACAATAAATATATCATTACTTATTTAATAAATATATATATTTTTTAAAATTAATGTTTTATTAATTGTTACGAGTAATAATTAAAAAAATAACAATATCTTTAGTTTTCCCGAACAAAATTAAGCTTTTATCAATCTAATATATTTAGATAGCAACTTAGAAAAAAATGTTCGATGATAAAACACTTTGATGAATCATATTTAATTGAAAAAATGTGAGTATGATGTTGAGTGTTAGTAAATACAAAACACGACGGCATTGTTGATTTCCTTAATAGTATGTATGCATGAGAATATAAAATTCATTTTTATATCTGTTAAAAAAATTACCTTTTCAAGATTACTTGAATGACATGATATATAAGTAGAGTTTAAAACTTTTTGTAATTATAATATTTGTTTGGACTATTTCTGAGATACTTAATCACATGTAAATTTATCATAGCTATATTTAGACCACAAAAACTATTTTTTATTCTGTGTGAAGTGATATTCCCAGGACTCCTAAAACTAAAATCCTAATTAATATACATTGATTACGATTATGAAAAACAAAGACGAATATATATATTTCATTTACTCAGGATGACTAAAACAATCTTTTTATGATTAATGTCCCGAACTTTACGTTAAGTATTGTAAAACTACAAAGTATACCATAAATTATTTTTTAGCAAAAAAATTGAAAAGTATGTGCTTGATACTATTACAAATAAAAGTGATACTTTTTCTCACGCTCCATTTATAAGGTTATTTCATGCTATGTATTTTTTTCATTCAAAATGTAAATGTCAGTTAAAAAAATTTTAAGAATAAATCAATTTTTTCATGTACAAATGTCTTAGTTTATTATTATTATTTTTCAAGAGAAGCAATGAGAACAATTGTGATAGATCCAGAGGAGTCATGGATGTTATGACGCCCTTCAAGTAGTGGCAACATTATAATTTATTTGGTAGTTTAATAATTGTATTGACGTGTTATATTAATTACATAAATTGAGAACCCTTTTTTTAAATATTTTGTTTTCAAATTTAAAGTTTTGAAAAAAAAATAGTCTTATATGGTCTAAAATAACATTCCTTAAAAGAATTTTCTGGATCAATTTCATTAATTACTTAATGAAATTTAATCATCAAAAAGTGAAATTTGGTCTTGGATTCTTCTACTTGGTACAGAATTATACTTTTTTGTTAAGAAAAATTAGATTAACAGTACAAATATGATAAGAATTATTAACACAAGATCACTATGAAATAATACTATATTATTATATAAACCAAATCTTAGAATTGATTGAGGATGTATTTTATATTTCAAACATAAGTAATAGGTTGTAAAAATATACTTAGACAATCCTAAATATATTGATTAGTCAATGAATAAATTTACTGAAAAATGAGCAAATACAGAGTGGAACAGATTTAACTGACAATTAAGACACAATAATCATTTTGTTTTTATTTTTATTTTTATGGGTGGAATATCCATTATAAACACACGAGATACTAACAAGGGGAGGTCACGGTGATGGGGTCACCGATTTTNGCTTATAAAATTTTTAATAAGACTTAAGTGATCATTAATGTAATGTTATTACGAAAATAAATTTAAGAACAATTATGACTACTGTACCTATTACCTACTACGTACCTACTGTCACACAGGTAGGCCTGCCCAACGTCTTATGATGAATAATTTCCGACTGAAACTACTAAATTTTGCCAATTGGGGTTTGATATCTTCCATAACCTCCTGATGTTTCGGCATGATCTTTAAGACACCGTAATTATTTTTTATTAAGAGGCCAAGAATTTCAATGATTAACAATGGATTTTTTTCAAGGAATACAGTTAAAATAAAAGTAACTTGTTGTCCAGTTAACGCTATAACTTTTTATTTAGTCATTTTTTTTCTCAGATTTGCCTCGAAGCTATTAATTGTACTATGTTTATTTCTTTTTTGTTTGACATTACACATATTCAGCTTTTAATAATTGAATAATTATTCTGTTGTAGTTTTTTTTACAGATGGAGTATTGGCAGACCCGTATTAAAAAATTTGGCGCTCCCGGGCATATAATTTATATCCCCCCCCCTCATCACCACAATAAATAATAATAATAATATAACACTATTTATTTCGTTCATAATTGATTCTTTAATATTAAAACCCAAAAAATCCAACTTAATAATTAATAAATGAGAATTATTTAATACTTTTTTTAATTAACAAATTATAACATAATTAAAAATACAATTTTCTTTTTTTTTAAGTATATTTTTCCTTGTTTGATTATTGGCAAATTCTTCAATTATGTCGCTATAATTAATCTGAGTTAATTGAGATTCAATACTAAAAATTGCCAGTGCATTTAGTCTGTCTGTGGATATATTTGACCTTAGATATGTTTTTATACGTCCAAGTGTAGAAAATAACCGCTCTGCGGTACAATTGGTCGCTGGAGTACAGAGAAACATACGTAATGCTATACTTACATATGGAAAAATATCCTCCAACTCATGTTTTTTCATCATGGTACTCATATCAATTATACTTTTAGGATGATATTTTATATTTTGTAAATGACTTTGGAAATGGATACACTCATTTACAAAAGTTTCATCTAAATCACTTTTGTATATCAAATATAAATTTTCAGCTGATACATATACTTTCGATGTTTTCATTGTATCAAGTTTTAAAAAGAAACTGTACTTTGTTATTACATTATCATATGCCAACTTTCTAGTAGTCAATTCTTTAATTATAGTCACAAATTACATAATATGTATAGACATTGGATTCTAAATCACTAGGCAAATCAACTTCTTCTAGATCAACTATTTCATCATTTTCACGGAACAAGATTATACTATATATATACTACATATCTTAGTTCGCAGCAATAATACAGCTATATAAACAGTAGTTCATAACATTTTTCTAAAATACAAATTTCAAAAATATTAAATAAAATGCAATTATTTTTTTTTTCATTACATTTTTAAAATAAATTTTGCTAAAATATTTTGCCGCCCCCGGGCATAAGCCTACCCGTGCCACCCCTTAAATACGGCCCTGAGTATAGGTTATAAATATATGACAGTACGAATTGTACCCACTCGCGCTACACATTCACTTTATATATCAAAATGCTTGTAACTTAATAAGAATACATATTCTAAAGTTGTTATCAACCCATCAAAAATGTTTGTAAAAAGAGCTCTACAAAAACTGTTATTTCAAAAATTAAGAGTTAAAAATATATAGGGCGTGATGTGATGCTGTGGATTTTTTAGTCACCATCTTAGCGCTGATGTTCAGTTGCACTGTATACTATTGGTTTCTTTTAGATATAATGAGGTTGTGTCAAGTTGACAGCTGATGTAAAAATCCAGTTAAATTATTGTAAAGTACAGCCAATCTCATATAGTTGGGATAAATGGCGGCATTTAGAAGGGCATAGGAGCTACGAGGCCCTATAGAACATTTAATACATATGTTAATATATTACATCCAATAAAATGTTAAATGAAATGATGGTGAAATAATAAAAAATGTTATAACGTGTTTTATAAATGCAAAAATTGAAAAAAAAATTTTTTTTGGCAACATTTTTATCGTAACAAAAGTTAACAGAGTTAACAAAGTAATAAGAGTTGTCAATGAGATCTGTTCTATTCTGTATATTAAATTTATTTTGCTTATATGTTATTTCTACAGTACCAATGTCTTAACAAGCGAGTATGTTGGCAAAGTGATACTTAAGTTTTTTTTATAAAAATTTCGAAATTAGTATTAAAGTCATCAACATTTATAAAGATGTAGTTACAAAAACCGCATCTGAAACATTTACTTTGAGGTTCATTCGCTTTACTGTGTGTCATATAGTGATGGGTCGTTCACGAACGAACGGGTCTTTTTGAACGGGTCATATCAGTGAACGAGTTGATCCGGATCGCAAAAAAAATAGATATCGTTCATTCGTTCATACGTTCATTCGTTCGTTCGTTTCACGCAATATATCGGACACACTGTTTCATGATTCGTTCATTTACTGAACGTTTACCTGCACTTCGGTTAAAACCTATGCCTAACCTTATATTCTTATAATATAAAAATTTAAAAAAAAAACGAAGAATATATTCTTTATAAGTATATACTTATAATGTTTTTTTAAAAAATTAAACAAAAAAAATACTTATTGCCAATGAGAGTTTAAAAGCTACACTATTTGGTTTGTGATAAAAACATTTTTATTGCAGGTCTGCAGACTAAATTTTCAAAGTTGTGACATGTTTCTACTAACATAATCATGCAGGTTTAATACAGTTAGATTATTTCAAGTATCCTACTATATTGTTCATTTGAAGAACAATTTTGATTATCAATATATAGCTATTTATTTCATAAATATTACATTCATATAATTATTTATAAGCGAAAATAGGTCTATGAATTATTGAATTTAGCAACTAGGACAAAAATTGACTATTAGACTAATATAATTGTTGTGAGAGGTATTAAACCACCTCACTCTTTTATAATCTGGTCATAGCTGCTGTAAATTGTAATATCTGATTTAGGTGAATTAATTTCTCTATAAAACTCCTTTTATGAAAACAAATAATTTAAATGATTTCGCTTATTATAGAAACAAATTCTATGGATTTATGTACCGCAACTCATCCGCTAGTATAAATTATTTGTTTTTATTCTATACAAAAATATTCGTGTATAACAGCATATTATGTTATTTCAAGTAATTTGTATTTGAAAAAATAATATATAACCCCATTATACAAGTGTATTATCAGTAAAAATTCTGATATCATGGTAATGTTACATGGTGAAAATGCGAATTTGAACGACTCGTTCAGGAAAACCATAGTAAGGAGTAATTGATAAGAACCGTGACCGATCGTAAGAAATGAACGAAAGAACGAGTTATATGAACGGGTCATTTGAACGATCCGATCCAAACGATCCGGATCGTTCGATTGACCCGAAATTCCCATCACTAGTGTCATAGTCAAGTATACTAAATACAGTTACTAATACTGCTGTATGATAGAAATCTGTATTGTATCGTGTTCTCATGCACTTCCGTCGTGGCATTTACGTAATGGTGTTTTATCTGTTATCAAAAAACTACAGTTGATAATAAATTGACAGTTAGACGTTTTTTTAAAAACAAATTTATAAGTATTTTTTTTTATAAAATTAAAATTTTTGACTGTCTTTTAATAAAAATGTTGATTTTTTTGTTTCTTTCCTAGAATAAATTTATATTTAAAATGTTAATGTAATTTATTTGTGATAATGGTTAGCTATGAAGCATTATTAAAAATTTTTTTAGTATTAAAAGTATTGCTAATTATTGTTTAAAACATACCTAAATATTCGAGTTGATTTGTGGTATGAAAAACATATAGATCATCATATTATGTCTTCTAAAGAAAAACATAATCGTCCTAAACCTAATCCATTATTTGAAAAATGGATTTCAGAATGGTTGGTTGAAGCTACAGAAAAAAATTTGGAAGTTCGACATGGTTATCGTAAGGTAAGAATTTAATCAGTACTTTGTATGATTAAAAACCCAACCTTGTCTAACTAAGGCAGACAATTTATATCAGTTGGTCATGTATCATGCCTCAGTGTGTTATTATCAAGGTTTGATTTTGTTACACTGGGTTAAGTAAGTTTTCCCATACTCTATAGCATAAGAAACAAACTTTAAAGAGAACAATAAATATAAAATAAAATAGACTGTTTCACATCTAATAATTTTCAATTGTAATATTAGATAAAACAATACAGGTCCTTTTAAAAAAATCATGAACACATTTTATTATGTGCCATATAACACAATAATTTCAATAAAAGTTAAAATTTTAATGTAGTCTTTGGGGACTCCAAATTTTCCTTTTAATTGGGGTAAATTGGGATATTTGCAAAAGCATTTTTTAGACAAATGCACACATTTTTATTTTGAATTTACATTCAATATGATAGCAACTCAAATGAGGACCAGAACTTTTCAATCTGAAATAAAATATTCTAAATATTCTAAAATAAAAATAAATTTACAATAACTGCATTTACACTAAATTACCCTACTCTTACTTTAAAAATATACAAAAACCAAAAGTTACAATGTATTTTTCATTTTTGATAACATAAAAATTTATTTAATAAACCTTTCTTCTTGTTCTACTACTTCATTAAGTTATAATTAATTTTGTTTTACTATATAAATTTTACCAAACTAATTTATTTTTTCAATTTTAACTGCATAATTTATAACTTAATACTATTAATCTAATCAATAAAAAATTTAACCTGTATATTTATAATGATATGAAACATTCCATCTTACTATATCACTTGTGATAAAAAATGACAAATTACTCATTTATACAGTAGATTAAAAAATATTTTAGGCTTTGAATTCATTGAAAAAGTATCCTCTACCTTTAAAAAGTGGTAAAGAGTGTATGATATTGCAATTTTTTGGGAAAAAATTGTGTGATAAATTAGACAGAAGACTAGAACATCATAAATGTTCAAATATAGGTATTTTAGTTTTAATTATTTGAAATGATCTATTTTATTTATTCTTTTTTTTTTTCATACAAATACTGGAGAAGTAGAAGATAATGTAATAGAAATTCCTCAACAAACTATACAAAGTCAATATCTTAAATCTAAATCTACAATTGCAAAATCAAAAAATCAAAAAAGTTCTATGCATTTAATAAGTTCTCCCAGTAAAGAAAATTGTAATGTAAGTCAATAATTATCATTGGATGTTTAAAAATTATAATATAAATAATTTTAACTAATCATTTAGAATATTGAACCAGATACCGCGGTATTAGAAAAAATAATCATTAAACCTAATGAGTTTACTATTATTCTTTTAATTGATACAGGTGAAACATCAAGTATAAGGTAAATTAAAGTTTGTTTTATTGAGTTTACTAATTAATAAATGGTTTAATGTTTAAATTATACATTAAGCATAATGATAATTTTAATAAAAATAATTACTACTGAACTTATTACTATACTAAAAATTATTTTTATAGCATTGGTTTTTAAGTTACTTCAATAGACTAATTATATATGTTAATATTATTAAATTACTTAAAGCAGCTAAAGGTTTGATTAAAAAAAAAAAAAAAATAATATAAATAATTTTTTTATTGGTTTCTTTTAGTTCAATGTTTCTCTCAATTTTTCAATCATGAAGTTTTTTTTATGTTCATCCTTTATGCCTTATAAGGGTGTCAAATTTAATTTTTCAAATGGTAACACAAATAATTAACTAGCTTATTCATTAGATAATGATCTTATTAAAGAAATGACTAGTCAATAACAACTTTTGGACTTGTATTTTGAAAATTATTAACATTTTAGAATATTGACTGAAGGTGAAGAGTGGGTGCTGTAATTTTTATAACTAGACATTTTCCAATCATACTTGCCTCTCATATATATATATATATATCAATATGATATAGATTGTCCTACTTGGCCACTTATGTATGTTTAAAGAGTCCTGTCTCTCTGGCTAAATTATGTATTTTGGGTTTTAGGTTTTTGATATCTTCTTTTTCAAGAAAAAATTTTCCCTAGTGTTTAGTTCTTAACGTGGTAAGGGTGTTACATTGACACATAATGTAAAATAAATCTCTCATTTTCTGCATAGTTGTGATTCTGTCACTCCCATTGTGTAAAGATATTTTATCATATGGCAGCATTATTCTGTCAGTAGTCCACTTAGAGTACTTATTTGATATCTAGCTATGTAATTAAGGTCCCTTAGTAGTAGACTAGAAGTCTTAATAAACTATATTTCCCTGTGTTGTTCTCTATACCAGTTTTTAGGTAATACTCGAGGGATTGTTTTGTGAGTTCTACCACTGATTATGGTCTAAAATTGGTGTTTTCTACAGTTTTTTTGCTTTAAAGTCTGCTTTTTCATTACTTGACATACCATTGTGTGCCTTGATCCAATACTATTGTAATTTTACTGAACTTCATAGTGCTTCTAAAATTCCCCTGCATTCAAGGACTAGTCTTAAAGTCACTTTGATTATTACTAAGTGCCTTTAGATCAGATTGAGTATCATTTAGGATATTTATGTTATTTGTCTTGAATACTAGTAGTTTCTGTGCCCTTACTAGTATTGCCATTACCTCTGCTTACCACGGTACTGTGCTTTAACATATTGACATTTATGCGAGGTTTTAATTTCAGACCACCAACACCTATCTTTTATGATTTCTTGGATCTGTATGTATAAATGATTAACTCCTTTCCTATTTAGGTGATTTTTTTCATTGCCTATGTTTTAAGTTTTCAATTTTGTAGGGGATGTTTGAGAACAAATTTGATACAATCTGAGGAATATTCCAGTAAGCTCTGGTCTTCCTCTTCTAGTATATTACTATGTTTTATGGTGTCACTATCCATAGCCCAGATACCTAAGTTGTGGAATCTTATAGTTGCAGCTTGGTATTCGCTTTAACCTTTAGGTGTATAGGAGGTAATTTAATTAGTGCCTCCAATATATGTCCATTAATAATCAACATAGTCAACTTTTTTTAACACAATTTTTCGTTAATAATTTCATTTCCTACATTAGAAAAACAGATATAACAAAGGTTACTGCTCAACTCTCATTGTTAAATGTCAGTTTCGAAATGAGACGATTAAGTATTGGTGATTTTGCTTGGATTTGTCGTGATTGTCATGGTAATGAATTAATGTTACCATATATAGTTGAAAGAAAAAGACTTGATGATTTATCTAGCAGTATACAAGATGGCCGTTTTCATGAGCAAAAAGTAAAATTATTATATATGCATTGTATGTAAATACTCCTTCATTAATTTATAAATTTTCATAATCTATATAGTTTAGATTGAAACAATGTGGAATTGAAAATAAAATATATTTGATTGAAATGGGTAAAAAATACCACGGTCTACCATTAGCAAATTTGTATCAAGGCATAGCAAATACTGAAGTAATCGATGGCTTTACTGTACTTAGAAGTGAAAATCATTTGGAGTCAATTAATTATATAGCTACTTTAACTGGTTTATTAGCTGATATGTATAAAGTAATTTTGATTGAGTTTTTTTTTAATAGTTTATTATTTCCAAATATAATTTTTTTTATTAAATAAAATGTTAAATACTTATAGAACAAAATCTTAACTACAATTATTGATAACGAAGAACTTGATAATGGAAGTATGACAAACGCTATTAAACTAATATCCTTTAAACATTTTAATAAGGGTTCTTCAAAAAGTAAGGTAATTTTGTTCAAGTTTTGTAGAATCAAAAAGAAAAAATTTTCACTCAGTTATTTTCCTAATTATAAATTATATATTTTAGAAGATCAAAATTATTAATTTTTAAATTAAATTTTTATTTAAACCAATTGAATCATTACCAAGTAGATACTGAAATAGTTCAGTGTCTACTGAATAGTTGATCTCCTTTAAATGATACAATTCCTTATGAATAGAAAAAAAATGTAAAAAGTATTTTATTATAGTATTTATTTATTTATCTATAATAGTATTTATTATTTTATCTTTGTTTATGAAACTTTTTTTTTTTTATGTAGAACATGACAGTAAGAGATATGTTTATACGTCATTTATTACAATTACGAGGACTATCAGTGAAAAAAGCATTTGCAATTGTTGAACACTATCCAACCCCTATATCTCTTATGAAAGCTTTTAAGGATTCAGGCAATCCTTTTTTATTGGCCAATATAACATATGATGTGCCAAGTAAAATGATTGGTCAAATTATTAGTAAAACATTATTTCAATTATATTCAAATAATCAAAATACTATTGTGTAAAATATAAGTTATTTTATTGTTTTTTATATCATATAAAATATGAAGTGTTGTACAATTTATGTATTAAAAGTATTGTATTAGTTTTTTCGTAAATTAAAAATGAGTTTAATGTAACATCATATGTTTTTTTTTAGTTTCATTAATAATTGTTTCTGTGTATTTTTATTTTCCCTTCTTCTTTTTCTGACATATATTAAGTGTGTGCTATGGAATGTCGCCAAACTGTGTGAAATATCTTCCCACACCATAATAATTTTTCTATTTTTATACCATCCAGTTGACTACTACTACTCATTCTGTTTTCCTGCGTTTTTAACAAATTTCTATTCCAGTCAAAGATATATAATTATTGCTCGATACAGTTAAATATAAATATTAGTCCTAAGTATAGCATCATATTATAGTTTTATATTAATTAAATGTCAGGAAAACCTCCTCAAAGGACAACATTTCGTCCACCTTGGGTTAAAGATGCTCCAAGTACGGCACCTGCAACTACTGTACCATGGAGAAATCGAGATAGAGCCACTAATGAGACTAATCAATCAAATGCGGTAAGTAGTAAAACGTTTATCTATAAATTTAAGAATTCAATTTCTTTTTTATAAAAATTCAATCTTTTTTCAGGCTGATGAAATAAAGCATTTTAAACTACGAAAAGTCGCTCCGAATGATGGAAGAAAAGTTACAGAAATCAAAATTGTGCCAAAAGTAAGAAATGATTAGCGGAGGGAATCATGAAAAGTATTAAAAAAAGTGACAAACAGTTCTGTCGTCATTTTCGAGCTTATTATGAATAAAAAAAGAACACAATAACAAGAGTAAATTTAAGTCTCAACGATTTAATTAAAAATAATTTTTTTTAAATTTATTTATATTTTTATTTGCTTGGTGTAATAATATTAAAGTAATTTAATTCATAACGTCTATCTAAAGAAGTTCGTGGTCAGTTAGCGTTTTAAAATTAGTCAGTTTCAACTTATTACTGGTTAGTACTTAACGTGAACTTCAAATCATAGTTAAAATAAGATGGATTAATTTTAGCATTTGAATATAGATAAATGATTAACAGCTGTAATAAAATCTGACCTACATTTGATATATTTTGGATTCATTCGCTAGTGACGCATATATGTGATACTTAAGTGATGGTTGAAGCGTATATGTTACGCCATTTAAAATGTTAGTCTGTGACAAAAGCATATTTTGTTTTGTTTACTGTTATTATTATGTCATATCCTGTGTAGTTTTAACGTAAATCAGCTGAACTATATTTAAATAATTGCAAATTACATTCTGTATATTGTACCAAATTTTTGAGTTTACATAAATTATTCGCGGGTTTTTCAGTTTTTATTTTTGTTTAGATTGAATCCCAAGGACCCTTGCAAGTCAAAAAAACAGTGCCTGTACAAGATAAACTAACTCAATCAAAAATGACAGCAAAACCTCCAATTTCCAATACATCTACACCACCACCACCTCCTGCTCCGTCTATACCACCTCCACCACCATGCGCTCCAGCAGGACCACCTCCACCTCCACCACCAATGGCGAATATAAATGGCCCACCAATTGGTAAGGAGTTTATAAAATTAGTTAATAGAATATTTTGCACAAATATTATAAGAGTAGCACAGATATAGATACTTTTTTTCATGGTATACCATTTTACAATTTTTGTTGGCGTGAGACCTAATTTTTAAATAACACCTTTTTTAAAATTTAAAAATATTTGGAATAAATAAGAATGTTGACAAACTTTAGCTTTTTTAGTCTTCATACAAACAATTGTTTGTGTAAGGATTACGGGGGCTAATATCTCAGTTAAGTTATTGTAATATTCTATAAAACGAAGGAGTAAAAAATGATGAAATAAAAAACTTCTAGTTCTATTTCCAGATATATGGTATTGATAATGGGACTTCTAAAGACAATAAAAAAAAGGGTTATATAAGTTAATGACTCTTTTTGTCTTGCTTGTCAGAAACTAAAGTTCTCCAATTTAATTAAATATATTTGATAATGATTATATTGATTTTGAGTAAAAACAATATAATATGTTTCCATCGACATATTTTTCAAAATCGAATTTTTATCGTACTTTGTTAAGAGCGGAACTAAACATAGATTGGTTTCACTAAACGTCTATTCCATTTATCGTAATAAAAAGAAATGACCAAAGGAAGTTTTTAAGTAGAATATATAACAATGTAATTATATTTTCTTTTACTTTCCTGAAAATTTTTATTTTGGCGCTTATGACAACTCGTCTTTTAACCATTGATATCTTAGTTTTATAATTTAGTAAACCCCTCTTTTTGTATGACAATTTTGATAGACCAGGTAATTATTTTAATATTAGTCACTCTATTTTTCTATAAATAATAATTATGTTTAAAAAATTCTTTTTGGTATTTTCCAAATAAAGGTGAGCGTGACAGAGAAATGTGTAATAATAAAAATACCATAACCCGCCTCATGTCACCTCTCTATATTTAATAATGTTACTAACAAGTCGTTTTCTTAATTATATAATTTTTATTTAATGAGCGGATTAAATATATAAGTTGAAATTAAAAAAATATTTAATAATTGATAAATCTAGAAATATATAACGCTTAAAAATACCAAAAAAAAAGAAATTTCTTAACATAATTAGTATTTTAAAAGAAATGGAATGGCTAATAATAGAAGAATCATGCTGTATATAATTTATTACAAGTTTAATTTTTACCAATTGTTTTTTTATATGAAATGCCAATAATTCACAAGAGAAAATATAATTTTTTTGGATACAACAAAAATATGAACATAAGGTTTTTAAACCTTATTTTAAATAAAATTTCCCGCTCAAAAACCTTAATATAATATTATATGATTGAGAATAAAAAATTTTTTTAGTCAAAATTGCTATGCAATGAATGCTATAATATATTTTCAAACATTTAACTATAAAATAACAGTTCATTTATTGAGAGCGATTCAGAGTTAGGTACCATTTATAAAGGTTCTTTATACATGTAATTTAACTAATAAAATATAATACGATTTATTAATAGTAGTGTTATAACATTGCGGAAAATATTTTGATCAAATTTGTGCCAAATGTAAAGCTATATTTGAAAAATTGTTCTGAATACTGCATTATTCGTTCGTATGATACTAAATATTTTTATTTTATTTTTTAAAAATTATTTTTCTTAATGTTTCTATATACTATATATTAAATGTTAACTATATATGTACACACTGTATGCATTTATTTTATTAATGAAAGATGTAATTATTCATTTTAATTGAGAATTATAATCTAAGAGGATGAGTTTAGTCTTTAGATCCTTTTTGTTTAATTTAGGTTAAACAATATTTTAGGGGGGGCGCTGGAAATTGGTATGCTTGTAAGACTATTATTAATGCATTCAGTTTATTTGTATTTATGAAGTAGTTAATTGTTTAAATTATGTTTATACTATGTATTTATTGGTAATGTATCATTTAATATTATATATTTTATATTTACAAATTGATTATTAATTAAAGAGCGACAGGGGAGGTCGCTACGAACCTTTCATAGAAGAGCAATAATTAAAAATTATTAATTTACTTTATATGACCTAAAGTCAAATATTAAGAGTTGAAATATATTCAAAAATCATTATGAAAAATTAAGTTTTGAAATTTTATCGTTTCGCATAAACATTTCGTTTAAGAGTTATTTATTCATATTTCTATTAAATTTAATTTAGTTTATATTAAATGATCCATTCAAAAGGTTACATTTGTATTGTTAATTAAAAACGAATCAATGAAATGCGATAAATGATATACAATCAAATGAATACCTGGAGGAAATGTTATACAAATTTAGTTTTGGAAAGATTCCAACTGAAAAGTTTAATCACAGACATTCGTATCAGTAGTGGAATTATATAGACGATTATTATTGAGTCTGTGTTTACCTAGTTAATTTCTATTGCTAAATTAATTTATTGATGAGTTTTTATAATTTTTAGTAAGAAAACCACCGACTCCGGAAAAAATGAAAAAGATAGATGCTCTTCGAAGCCGACCAAAAAAGCGTCCGGATTGGTCGGATATGATGAAAGAAGTAGAAAGTGGAAGAAAGCTCAAGCACGTCGAATGTAATGACCGTAGTGCACCTATAATACCTAGTAACAAATCTAAAGACAAAGTAAATTTTTTCTACATCACAAAAATGAAAAAAAATAACTACTGTTAGTTTAAGTTGTGTTTTAATAATTTCGATGTAATTTTTTCGTTATTTAGTTTATGTATGAATCAGAAGCGAAAGCAGAATCAACTGATCATCATCAACTTTTAAAAGATATTCAACATGGTATTAAATTACGAAAAGTTACTACTAACGATAAAAGCAAACCATATATCGAAGGTATGTATTTATTGAAATACTTATTTTTTATTTCTAAACCAGAGACTTAATTAAGGAGAAGATGGCGGGAATAGAACATCTCGAAATAAAATTATTTACATAGTGAAGACAGAATTATTTTTCATTGATTTCATTTTTTTAATAGTTATAAATCATTATAATCAGGGATTCGGAACGGAGCAAATTTTGTTCCGTTCCAATATTTGTTCCGGAACGGAACTTTTCCTAAAAATCGTTCCGACTATTTGCTCCGGAACGGAACTATTAGTAAAATTCGTTCCGGCCATTTGCTCCGGAACGGAACTTTTCCTAAAAATCGTTCCGACCATTTGCTCCGGAACGGAACTATTAGTAAAAATCGTTCCGGC